CAAGAAGGGAGACAACACTTACATCAAATTATATCTGACCTATGGAAGTCATTTTATTATGACTTGTTTATGTCAGAGCTCTGACTGATTGACTTTGAAACTTTTCATAGTTTACATGTATTAGTTTGTGATTAGGTCAATTTAGGGGGAACCACTTGTGGTAGGTCAATGATATTTGGTATGCAGTTGTATAAGTATTGGCATATCTCATTTCCATGGAGATTATTTGGCTCCGCCCCCTTAGTCATGGTCTAGACTTTGAAAATTTTGCTAAGTTTACATGGTTAACATGTATTAGTTTGTGACTAGGTCAGTTCAAGGGGAACCATTAGTGGTAGGCCAATGTTCATTGGTGTTCAGTTGTATAAGCATAAGCACATCTCATTTCCATGGAGAATATTTGGCCCTGCCCCTCATTCATGGTCTATTTACTTTGAAACTTTTGCTTAGTTTACATGTATTAGTTTGTGATTAGATCAGTTTAAGATGAACTGCTAATGTTAAGTCAATGATATTTGGTATGCAAATTTATTGGCATTTGCAAGTATCCATGGAGATTATATAGCCCCACCCCTGATCATGGTTCATTGACTTTGAAACTTTTATATAGTTTACAAGTTAATGTTTGTGTTTAGGTTTGTTTAAAGGGAACGACTTATAATAAGTCAATGGTATTTGGTATGCAGTTGAATTAGCATTGGCACATCTCTAGCCTGGGATCCTGGCCAACTGCTTGACAGTAGAGCCAGGCGGAATACAACAACATGGTTCCGTCAATTGGATGTTAGAATGATGCATCTTGGGATAGCGTCATTTCTTGACACATGGCAGGAAATATTTATATTGCCACAAATTTATTGAAGACTATTTTTATTTTCATATGAAATGCAAATTTCGAAAACTTTAACAAATATAATCCAAGCGTTGTTGATAAACATCGTCAATCAACAACAGTTAATTAACAATCCGATCGATATATTCCTTGATTATAAAATACGCACATGCGCAGTAATTCAGTCCTGTTCAGCGCTGATAGTTGGTCACTTGGATTGTATTACGCCTGGCCCTATCAACGAAGTATTAGATTGGGTCAGGATGCCAGGCTAGCACATCTCATTCCATGGAGATTGTTTAGCCATGTACCTTCAGTCATGGTTCATCGACTTTGATTATTTGCATAACTTACATGTTAAAGTATTGCTATTTTAATTTCAACATTTGCATTATCAAAATTACAAAAAGGTGAGACATATCTCTGTGATAACAGTTTATTTTTCATTTAACTTAAAAGTTTTATAAAAGTACACAGAGCTCCAGATAAGAATTCACAAATTGGGGTTTTTACCCACCATTTGTTTATGTAATTGGGTGATAATGTTTTTAAATTGCATTATCAATTCCAATTCACCCCTCAAGCAAATATCAAATTGGGTTTTTCACCACCAAGCTCCTTAATGTATTGGGTTTTTTCATCAACACAATATTGAATGTTTAGGCATGTTATAATCACATTATATCAACCCCATGCAGATGTTTTTCCATCTTAAATGTGTTTCTTTCTTTGTATATATGCTAGCTGTTTTATTTGGTTTATTCACTGACAAGCAATTGTACGTTTAATTTGTGTCCGATTTTAAATGTTCTGCCAGTTTTGTATTTTCTCACAACTTATATAAACTGCAGCTGGTGTCACTAGTTGGACAGTTACTAATTACCTTTCTAGATCCCATATGATCACCCTACAGTTTAGTTGGAGTAGGCGTGGCTACGTGTTTAGATTTTTATGTAATATCTGTGAAATTTAGGTGCTGTAAGTAAGTTTTGCCAGTCCTTTCACCTATTTGCCAGATCTACTTTTTAATAAAAATAATAAGTAGTTCCCAGATTTAAGATATACCCCAAAACCTTGACCAGGTATATAGGTTTAATGACGGAGACCACAATCAACTTAAATTTACAGAGTTAAATTTACAAATAATTCTGCAACATCAAATAAATAAATGACAATGTTAAACTGCACTTGCCAATAAGACAACTGTCATAAGCATACAGAACAATAAGACCAAAACAAAGAAAGTGTCAAGATGCATTGACGTAAAAAACGGATATGTGTATTCACTCATCAACTAAAATGAAAAAAATAATATATAAACTAAAATTATACTTGAATGTTTTTGTTTAATTTAATTTACATAAATCTGGGTTAAGTTGTCCCAGCTGATTAGAACTTTTGGTTTCTGATGCTTTCCAACTACATATATCATGTCATAATTGATTTGGCCTTTCACTTTTTCCAACTGATTTCGTTCTTGACAAAACCCAGTGTTTATCGTTCTAGCAATGTTCTCGTTAAGGTACGCAAACATGTCTTGTTATCATCATAATAACTTTCCCATAAGTATCAAAAAGAAGCAGAAAACATGCTTCTATTCAATATTTTTATCGGATATTTACTTTCGTTTTTTAAAATTCATTGTATGTTATGATAAATCCCGAGCAATTCGAAAAAAATATGACAACAAGACAAACGCTAATTGGATAAACGCTGAGAAGATCGAAATGTTTTCATAAACACGTGTACCTTTTGAGCAACGGAAAATTCCAACAGGGACCCTTTTCTGCTACTTGATGCAGGGCTCTATTTTTAGAACGAAAGGACATTTCCAATTATAAATATTATAAAAATAGATTTACGCGACGACTGTAATCAGATAAGGGTAAATAACGCAAACGATTGCGAATAAAAGCGTTAAGAACTCATGGTTTTGGCATATAATTGGGTTTTCCTTTGAATTAATTGGGTTTTTGAACCCTGCAATGGGCAATTGCATTGGGTTATTAATTATTTGTATTGGGTGATCACGCAAATACGCAGCTTATCTGGAGCTCTGAGTACATGTAGTGCACCTTATTAAAATGTGTGTGGAAAATTAAATCCTTGTTCAAATGATGAATGAAGACATTATTAAATAAGGACAGGCACATTTTTTTGTTAGCATTTTAACAGTAACTTCTTGAAGAAATATGTTAGCAATAACTTTTGATTACTTTTCACATGTTGAAAATTTCATTTAATATATATTATATTTGCATTTTCATATTTCAGGGATGATGACCTGCAGTAGAAAGTTCCTTATTACTCATCATGGCCATTACGGAAGATCTGATTAAAATTTGTTTAGAAAGCCACCAAATATGTCCATGAAAAGAAGAAAAAAGACAGCAATTCTATATAATGTACATATATGTACTAAGCAGAAGCATTGACTGTTTCAAGACCAAATGATTTGGAATTTAGTGTTTTGATGCTGAGAGAAAGAGGAAAATTAACTAGACAGATTTAGCTTCTTTTTCATCATCATGTATCACTGAAGTTGATGTTTACCATCTTAATGAGCTTTTACCTCAGTTAAAATGAATTCTAAATACGGACAGTTTGGAGATTTGTGAATTTTCTTACAATTTGAGTTTCAAAAAAGGATTTCATTTAACAAAATTATATTTCATGGATGTAATTTGTCGTTTCTTTCATGAAATATTTGAAAAATCTGCAATACATTTGTATCTGACCAAGTGAGAGATCTACAAATAGACATATGATATTCAGTTGAACTGTAAAGAAGGCGATATTCAATTATAATATAGACTTATATGAGTGTTTTGTTATTTTTATGGCAATTACAGGGAAAAGATAGTAATTGATTTAAACATTAATCCTACCTAGATATACATGAGATATATACTATCATATACATGTAGGCATACAATTCTCTGATGCACCACTAACATGACTAATGGAGTTACATGTAATTATAAAACTAAGAATATGACATATGATTGCCAATAAATTAACAACTCTTCATGAGAGAACAAATAGTCATATTATATATTGTCCACCAGCATGACCAGAGAACAAGAAGATCATATTATATCATGATTTATATTTCAATTTCATTTCATTTCATAACAGTTAACACAGAATAAAGGTACTGTAAATTCAGAAATTATTGCGAGATTTTTATTATTGCGAAAAATGCGACAGAGTTGAAAATGCAATAACTTAAACTCGCATTTTGAAATATTTTATATGAATTAAACAGGATTTTTCTCAAAATCGTAAAAATTAAAATCGCATTTAAGTCTAAAATAATAAAATCGCAATAATAAATGCACGCAATAATTTCTGAATTTACAGTATACAAAAAGTTCAGGAGCATAAAAAAGTGTTTTAATTGCAGTTGTTGTTCATCTTAAAGTGACTTAGTCATATTGATGTTGGCCTTCAATACGGAGCAAGACCTCTGTAACAGCCACAGAATGTTTGAACAAAAAAATTATCTATACTTATATATTTGTCTATACTTAGAAATCAGAATTTTTTTCATTTCTTGTCTAAATTAAAATTGGTTACACAATTGTATACGTTTGGCAAAAAAAAATATAAATTTATTTAAATGATGGTATTATTTGTATCCAGGATTTTCTGAAACTGCAATAATTAATCTCGCATTTTTACTTGTCCTTACATTGTTCAATAATTTTTAATTGTCCTTACATTGTTCAATAATTAAAATTATCTTGGGAATAAATTTACTCAAAAAATTCTGAGTCTTTTTGAAGGATATACAGTTTTGAGGCTCTTGATCAAGATCCATTAATAATTGATTTACCAGAATAGAAAATTTAATCCTTGTAATTATAAAAAAAACAAGCTTTAGTCTTCTTTAACTATTTTATTTATTATATTTATTAGTCAACACCCAGATTCCTATTTAAATAATTTATTCGGACACCTCCTTTAAAGTTCGGGAATTATACAATTTCAACTGCCGACATCGATTTACAAAATCTTACTGACTGCTCAAGCTTTAGAGAATGGCTAGAAATACCATGCAAAAGTAAAGACTGCTAATCATGAATAGTGTAAAACTTTGATCTTCATGTATTGATTGACACAATTCGTAAAATATGTGTTTATAAAAACACGATTTTCATTAAAATTTCAAAACATGGAAATAAAAAGGCAATATCCTTGTTATAATACAACGAGTGTCAACAAATCTGTTATTTCTATTATATGTAAATTTATTAACAAACAAAATTTAAAATAGTGCTGGGTCATAGAATATTGACGTGCATATGAAAAGTTTTTTTTATATAAAAACAAGGATTTGTATAGTGAGAAGGATTGGAATCTCGTGGACTATTTGCATTGCCTGTATTGAAATAAGCTGCGTATGATGAGATTTTGCGAGATTTACCGTGATGCATCTCGTTAGTCGTTTTTCGTCCACCATTACAAGTTGAATTTATGTCATTTCCAGATAAACTCGGCGTTTTGTAAGTATACTATAACAAAATTACATGATGTGATACTTTTAAGTGTTAAATTATGACAGTTCTGATTCAAAAAACAGTTTTTATCTTTACAAAACACATTGTCTGCATCTAAATATACTATGCATTTTATCTGTTGGTCATCGTAATAATCCCGCCCAAATAGGCGGTCCAAACCACAACTTTAATCTCAATCTCCTCCTTCATAATAAGGATTTGTGTTCAGAAACTTGAATTATATGAAATAAATGTGTGTGGTGCGTGCATATTATAAACTATATAGTGTAAGGAGCTTTCGTTGTTGTTATTTTAATGGTTATTTCAGACCAACCGTCAAAAATCATCCCGCGTTAGTGCAAAAAAGGGTGGACTGATAAAATATCAATAAAGTGCCACTATCGGTCGATTTCAACACTAAAACGTAATTATATAAATTTATCATAGTATATTTGTTGTACTTTCTAAAACATTTGGCAGTAAAATGATAACGTGTGATATTATCATATTTTCAAAATACCGCTACGGTTACTAGATGCATCCAAAAGTCGTTATTATGGGCGGGACCAAATTAACATAAATAAACTTCCTGTAGTCCCTCGAACGTGATGAAAAATGTTTACAGTAGAAAAAATAGTTTGCATCTGTCGTTTCATGGACATTTACACCAAAAGGTATTGCTTTTTCCTTTAAAATTGATATGAAAATGTATTGGGAAATTCCTTTTCCCCTAAGGGTTTACAGAACCCTGCTTACGTTCACCACATCAACTGAGTATATCATACAGTCATACTGCACATAGGCTACTGTCATAGACATAGGTGATAGCATATTTTGGCAATAGTATAAAGTGAAAATATAGGGACACTATTTATTTACAAGTTAAAGGCGTTTTCTTACTATCATATATTAAGACTGTCTATCTCTCCAATTTTTGGTATACCTCAGGCCTGTACCAAAGATAACAGGAGATAGTTACATTTGTATATGTGTATATTTGTGCTTAAAAGTGTGGGGGATAAGGGTACGATTTCAGTCCGACTAATTCAGTTAATGAAATGAAAAATATATATTGCCGTCTTCAGGATAAATCACAAGCGCTCGTCCCAGACCAGTATAATTTTTCTGAGGCTTAACTGCCCAAATGAATAAAAAGAAATTTTATGAAAGACTATTTTTCAGGCTTTGTTGTCAAAAAGTGTTCCACAATACACAAAATCTCTTAACACTCATAAACAAAAACCAAAAAGAAAAGAACGGTCCATTCACATGTACATGTATGGAGAATTTGAAAGTAATATTAGGCACTTCATCAAGGAGAAGTTATAAACTCTCAACTCACTACTAAAAACTCTTCATACATGTATTGTCAGGACTCTTGGGCGTCTGGATTCATCATTTGATATATAAAGAAATACCAAAATAGTCAAAAATTTTATGTTGTCATGGTCAAACATTTGATATTCTTGGGATGGCTACATGTCTACTAAAGTACATAATTAATCCTTGTTACCCCAATACAATCAACCGGTTATGTACTTGTATAGGATGCATAATGTGCCAATGCGGACTTTAAAATTCTGAACTTTTTCTGACCAGACTCCATATTCTACATAAATTCATGTCTTGTATTTTATTATTTTTGTGATGTATTATGAACTGTGTTATTTTGTTAATGTACATATATATATATGTATACCATAAAACCCACGATAACTGGATTAATTTCAATAAAATACATATCCCAGCATTATTATAGTGAACATGTAAATTGCATCTGTTTATATGGTTTAAACAGTTACAGATTATACATAACCCAGCTGTGACGAGTGCCCAATTATTCGTTTTTAAATTACTGCAAAATTCTCTAAATGTTATTTGATAAAAAATAATTATTTAGCTTTTATATATGGACAGCTAGGAGAGTAGCTTATTCTTGATACACAAGTAATAAAATTTCAGTTACTGTGTATAATTGTTTAACATCATATTTGCATTAAGTTTTTTACTTTCAGATGTAAAAGATATTTTGTGTTTTAATAGTACTTCTCTCTGAAGACAATAGTTCGTTATGGCTGTGGATAATAATCAGGTAACTACATTATTAAATATATAAAATAATACTGATACCAGAATTACTTTAAAATCATTATATCCAGAATTTGTGCAAGAATCATACCAGTGTGCCACATCTCTTAATATTTTTTACAGAAATTCTTAGTTGAATTCTAGCCAGCTCTGACAGCTTTCAGCACTAGTACTAGCACTGCCACAAAATGTAATTCTTAGATTCTTATTTGTTTTTAATTTGTAGTAGGCAGGTGTATTTTTTTTTACATGTAATGTTTTATTTTTTTTGCTTTGAAATTAAATGGATTAAAATTATAATTTTACAATATGGAAAATGTCAGGGAAACCCTAATTATATTTTATGTATTTTAGTCTTACAAAAAAAAATTTTTGTTATTTTCAGGATACCAAAGTTAAAGAAAGGAGATATGTTTCTTTGTGGTGAAAGTGCAAGAAATAACACCATATTCTGACTTACAAAATGATCACTCATACTGCATGCAATACAGGGAAAGGCATCAAACCAAGCCTCTAGAAGACATACATTTGTAGAATGTATTTTCTATGATGTACACATCGCAGAGGATACTTTATGTTCCAAAAAATCAAATACAAATTGTGTCAGCTCCGGAGACAAACTTAAGACGGAAGTTAACCAGAGTATGAAGTCACCATTATCAATATGTAAAATCCAACCAGTGACTATATATTTATTCAAATAGTGTCATGAATGGAATTAAAAAAGGACTTGGAAAATTAACATGTTTTAATATTGCTTTGTGTGTTAATAAAATTTGTCAGTAAGAACAAATTTCTTTTATTACAAGACATCCAGAATACATGTCTTCATACATGTCATAGCAGGTACCAGCATTTCTTTGGTTGGGTGTTCCCAGATAGTTTAGTTTGTAACAATGTTCCATTTTTTGGTCTTTCATGCTTGGTTCATAAGGAATGTAAAAAAATATTTCATGTGGGTATAAAGATAAGGAGATGTGGTACGATTGCTATTAAGACAACTATCAGGAGATCAAAGGACAAGGATGTAAACGAAGTCAGGTCAGTGTTCACTAAGATAGGTTTTCTAGGTACAATGTAGGTACTTTTTGAAAGTGGATAACCAATGGATTTATTGGGTCAATGGGATGAAGGTGGGGTGATGTGGGAATGAATATTTTAGCTTGGTTAGAATTAGTAGAAGAAATAATGTTGCCCGTTCAAGATGAAAATGAATAAGCTGCTGCATTTCTGCCTCACATTAAACATGAAAAATTATGTAAAAAAGTGAAAATGAAGCTATGTGACATAAACAATCTGAGCAACAGATAAAAATGAAATAATATTGACTATTTGTGAATAATCTGTCCAAGAGAAATCCTCCTGCCTTACCCCCTAAAAATGAAATGATTGTCCACTTATATATGCTCTTAATGCTAATAAAAAATGTCAAATCTTTACCAATATAAAAATAAGGAGATGTATGAATGCCAATGAGACAACTATCCATCAAATTCAAATGAAGTGGATGTAAGCAATTATAGGCAACTGTACAGCCTTCAACAATGAGAAAAACCCATATTGTATAGTTGTCTCTAAAAGGCCACAACGTGAAAAATGTGAAACAAATTATGAGTAGGGTGTATGACACAATAAGCAGATAACCCATCAAAGTTATTCGTAAAATGCTATTAGTTGCTTGTGTTACTAATGTTTTTCACAAGGGAAATTTACTTGTACTTGCCATGGGTACAACCATTGATTTTAGGATATAAATGATACATTCATTGTTGAAGACCCTACATCAACTGTCAAGATGAAGAACAGGAATAAAAGCCATGTTCATTGATAATTTTCTGTTTTCTATGTATTGGGTGCAATTTAGTCCCATGTACATGTACATTTACTCCATATCATTTCAGTTTCTATTTTACTGTTGTTTATAATCATGAACTTATTTTTAACTTCCTGCCAGTCCTTCAATGAACTCAAACCTCCATAGTTCCAATAACAACTCATGTATTTGCAGTTTGAACAGACGAGAATTCTTGAAAATCAATGAATTCATTTAATTTCTCATTTGTTGCGGACCTTACATTTGTACATGTATATTGATTCTGTTAAATTTATTCATAACTTAACTATGATAAAAAAATCAACATACAGATATTGTATGGAGACTGACTATTCTTGAAGACTGTATGATTTCCTCTAACTGTCAACATGGTCAATGCTCTTGTGGTAGTTGGGTCAGTTTCATATACTAGAAGAAAGGACAAAGACAAGCTTCGAAAATAAATAATTGTTTTGACCTTCTCTTTGGGGTTATCTTAAACAGCTATTACAAGTATCATAAAGATGTGTTGGGCTACTCAAATTACGATCACAAGAAAAACAACAACATAATTACGATAATTTTCGGCAACTGCCAAATGTAAACGACTATCAAAGTTTATTTTCCAGCTTGAGAGAGGTCCTCAATATGACATACTCAGAAGGAATCGTGTTATCTTTGCGAATTAAAACAAAATATTGATCAAAGATGCTAAAACAAACTAAACCTAACAACAAACAAGTCAAAAATGATCATTTTGCAATACACGCTGTTCGACCGGATATTTACTAACAGGCGCGAATACATTTATAGTGGCGAGTACGCAACATCTCACGATACGCGAGAAGTGTCGATATACCGCGAGATTCCAATCCTTCTCACTATACAAATCCTTGATAAAAACTAGGAATCGAAAGATGATCACTGCGTTATAAATATTGTAAAAAAACAATTGTTACAAAGAGATTAACGGGAAATATATGTCAAAATAGAAAGCACGGATGATCTGGCTGACCAAATTGTTTTACTTGCGAGAAATGATTGACAGGTATGAATAGACGTAGAGGCTCCGACGGGGAACGTGGTATCGAAAGGAAAATAATAGTTTATTCACAATGCCTATATTCAATTTGTTTATATACTTTATAAATATGATATGTTGGCCTTATACTTAGAATTGTGTTTCTATTAATAACTTTAAGGAACAGGACGTTAAAAGGGGGAAATATTGTAACCATCAACGAAAACCCGTATAATTTACGGGATTGATGTCTCAACATTTTGATTAAAACTTCGATTGAAAACAGTCCTGGTTGTTATAATTTTGAATAAAATGAAACATTTACGGTTTACAAATACAAATACGAATAGTTTATTGGCACAAACACAATTATTATAATTGGCAACACATTTTTACAGTACATTGTTAAAAATCGTCTTTTTTTCATTTTCAAGTTAAAAAAAAGTTGATCCCATATTCATGATATTAAATTTTTATTTTTATTGTAATTTTTTCTTTTTGAATATAAAACAATATTTTACATTAATTATCTATCCTCCATAAATACTAAAATATCTGTACAGGTAAAATTTAATTCTAATCAAGCTGGTACAGATTGATTTACGACCTTCCACTCGGATATTGTACAGGTTGATATCACAGCAGGTGTTAATTACACTCAGACAACTGTCCGGCCAGTCTGACATCTAGACGGATTAAGACATCCATAATAATAAGTCTCTACCCGTACTGTAAACTTGGAAACTTGTGATGGAATATTTTCACAGTTACTGTTTTAGAGATTCTTATATCTAGCATGTTTAGCAAAAGATGTTGGGTATACATGTATGGCAATGAGACAGCATCCCCAAAACAGACAGAAATTGCTTTGTTCTCAGTTTGAAATTGCACACTGTCACATATTTTTGTATTACAGCTAGAATTTGATATAAAAAAGATGATCTGGTATAATTGCCAATGAAGTTTTGATTTACAATTAAGTCATTTTTTTATACGACCGCAAACAAATTTTTGTGGTCGTATATTGGTATGACGTTGGCGTCGTCGTCGTCCTGCGTGTATGGATCTCTCTGAAATTGTACTGCAAGGTACCATACCACAAAGGGAAGGCTGGGATTGATGATGAGGGTAATTGCCTCAATATTTTAGGAATAAGGGGCAAAAAACAAGCATTTTTCTAGTTTCAGGACAATAACTTGTGTGTAAGTGTATGGATCTTTCTGAAATTGTAATGGAATATTTTCACAGTTACTGTTTTAGAGATTCTTATATCTAGCATGTTTAGAAAAAGATGTTGGGTATACATGTATGGCAATGAGACAGCATCCCCAAAACAGACAGAAATTGCTTTGTTCTCAGTTTGAAATTGCACACTGTCACATATTTTTGTATTACAGCTAGAATTTGATATAAAAAAGATGATCTGGTATAATTGCCAATGAAGTTTTGATTTACAATTAAGTCATTATTTTATACGACCGCAAAAAAATTTTTGTGGTCGTATATTGGTATGACGTTGGCGTCGTCGTCGTTGTCGTCGTCGTCCTGCGTCGTCCGAAGACCCATTTGTTTTCGCACTCTAACTTTAGTTTAAGTGAATGGATCTCTATGAAATTTTACCACAAGGTTCAATACCACAAAAGGAAGGTTGGGATTGATTTTGGGGGTTATGGTACCAACAGTAAAGGAATAAGGGGCCAAAAATAAGCATTTTTGTAACTTCAAGACATAACTTGTGTGTTAGTGTATGGATCTCTCTGACATTGTACCACAAGGTTCCATATCACAAAAGGAATGCTGGGATTGATTTTGGGGGTAATTGCCTCAAAATTTTAGGAATTAGGGGCCAAAAAAGGCAAAAAACAAGCATTTTTCTAGATTCATGACAATAACTTGTGTGTAAGTGTATGGATCTTTCTGAAATTGTACTACAAGGTTCCATATCACAAAGTGAAAGCTGGAATTGAGTTTGGGGGTAATTGCTGAAACGTTTAGGAATTAGGGGCCAAAAAGGGGCCAAAAATAAGCATTTATCTAGTTTCCAGACAATAACTTGTGTTCAAGTGTATGGATCTCTCTGAAATTGTACTGCAAGGTACCATACCACAAAGGGAAGGCTGGGATTGATGATGGGGGTAATTGCCTCAATATTTTAAGAATTAGGGGCCAAAAAGGGGCAAAAAACAAGCATTTTTCTAGTTTCAGGACAATAACTTGTGTGTAAGTGTATGGATCTTTCTGAAATTGTACAACAAGGTTCCATATCACAAAGGGAAAGCTGGGTTTGAGTTTGGGGGTAATTTCCCTAAACGTTTAGGAATTTAGGGCCAAAAAGGGGCCAAAAACACATTTTTCTAGTTTCCAGACAATAACTTGTGTTCAAGTGTATGGATCTCTCTGAAATTGTACTGCAAGGTACCATACCACAAAGGGAAGGCTGGGATTGAGTTTGGGGGTGATGAATCATAAGGGGGTTCAAAAAATTTGGAGGGGGGGATTTTTTTTTTTTCCTTTTTTTTTTTCTTTCAAAATTTTCCATTTTAAGTTGGTTATTTCTGATTTATATTTAAAAGCAAATAATAATGATATGGTAGGAGATACACACCAAACAGGATGTGTAAATTATTATATAATAAGTATTGTGCAATAGCAAGAAATTTCAATTGCACAGTATTGCACAATAGCAAGAAATCTTCAATTGCACAGTATTGCGCAATAGCAAGAAATATCCAATAGCACAATATTGTGCAATAGCAAGAAATTGTCAATTGTACAGTATTGCGCAATAGCAAGAAATATTTAATTGCACAGTATTGTGCAAAAGAAGATACTTCGTATAAATTGCTTATTTCTTGACCAATTTCAATGGGGTTTTATTCTTGAATTCTTGGCGTTCTTTAATATGCTGAATCTAACCGTGTATTTAGTTTTTGGATTTTGGGCCCTGTTTTTAAATAGG